CTGATTTCCTATGTCACTAATGTATATGGTCTCCATCTCCCTAAAGTGTACTTAATCTTTGCTTTCTTTTTCTTTCTTTCTTTCTTTTTTTGGTGGAACTGGGGATTGAACTCAGGCCCTTATGCTTGCCAGGGAAGCGCTTATTCCACTGAGCCATCTCCCTGGCCCCTAATCTTTGCTTTCTTTGCACAGTGTCTTTGGTTGCAAGTCATAAGCCTGAGGCAAATAAAATTCCAGTAATTAAAAAAAAAAGATGGAAAGAAAAAAGAAATTAAAGGCCATTGCTAATCTTTACAAAGTCCTAACATGTCATGCTACCTTCGAGCATGTCATCTTTGAGCAAGCAGGAGTGAGTTATCCCCATCAAATAATTGACAATGTCTGAAGACATTTTTTTGCTATTAGAACTAAAAAAAAGGAAGGTGTGCTATTAATATTTGGCAATTAGTTCTGCCAAACATCTTAAAGTACATGGCAGCACTCAAAACAAGCAATTATTTAGCCCCAAAAGACAAAGTGCTGAGTTTAAGAAACTGTACTTCAGAAATGAAACCTATTTTTCTCTGCTGTGTAACTCTAGCTTTACTAATTTAGTCACATCTAGACTCAAATTTCAACAAAGAAAAAAAATTAGAGAAATTTTAATCAGAAAAACATTTGGCCCCAAATTACTTGGCAGACAAGGACAGTTTGGTATTAAGACAATTTTTAAACATGGTCTCACTATGTTCTCCAGGCTGGCCTCAAACTTCAGGTCTCAAGAGATCTTCCTCTCTCAATTCCCAACCAAATAAACACATAGGCCTGCCAGCCCACTGACTACTTTTTAGTTTTACTTACATAGTTATACTTAATTCTGAAACTTTAAAATTCTTTTTCATTAGACAGTATATGTCACTGGTTTTAAAAGTGTACATGGGGCTTAAGTCTGGACTCAAATTCCAACTCTATCTATCTGTTCCTAACTACAGAAATGCTCAGAAAAATCACTCATATTAACATTCCATTTCCTATCTATAATGTCTGACTAATACCCATGTTAGAGTTGCTCTTGCTACTGTTGAATGTTGGTGCTAAGGACTGATTTCAGGGCCTTGTGCATATTGAGTACATGCTCTACCACTGGGCTATATCCTCAACTCTCTTTTGTGAGTTCTTTTCAGGACTAAATGAAAAACAAAAAAAAAATTTTTTTTTTTTTTTGGTTGTCAGACACAGGGTATTGCATAGTTCAGATAGGCCTCAGCCTTGTGAGTGCAGGGATTACAGGCATGTGCCACCACACCTGGCTGAAAAATATATTCAAAACACAGAGAACACATATTGAAAGACAGTAAATGCAAACACCTTTCTTTAATCTGGAGGAAGACGATATCTAAAAATAATGACATTTGAGCAGGCCATGGTGGCTCCTGGTGGTATAATTCTAGTACTCTGAGGCTTGAGCAGTGTGATCACAAGTTCAAGTCCAGTCTGGAGAACTTAGTGACTTAGAGAGCCTGTCTCAAACTAAAATATAAAAATGGCTGGGCATATAGTTCAATGCAAAGGCTTGAGTTCACTCCCTAGTACTGGAAAAAAAAAATGGTATGGATATTTGAAAATTCCTGGTCTGGTAGTTATTATGTAACTCAAGTCATTTCCTGACTGTGGGCCTCAATTTCTCAATTTTTTCATCTGTGAAATAAGTCTTCTATTATCCTTCTGACAGGAGAGTGATAAGGTACAATGGAATGAAGTATGTAGATACTGAAAACAGCTGGAACACAGTGTCTCAATCACTTTCCTTGTCATGGAAACAAAATACTCAACACTTTCAATTTAAAGGGGAAGAGATTTAGTCTGGCTTAAGGTTTCAACTCATAGTTTGCTGGCTCCAACACAGAAACAGTATGATGCAAGAGTCTAAGCAGAGGACAGCTACTCATCGCACAGCAATCAAGAAACAGAGAGAAAAAAAAAAAAGAAACAGAGAGAGAAGAGCCAGGCTGGCAAGGGAAATAATCCCTTCCAGGTTATACCCTCAATGACCCACCTCCAATGAGGCCCTACTTCCTAAAAGCACAGTTAGCTACTGAACTCATCAATGGATGAGTCCTCCGATGCCTAGCATCCAACTGACCCAATCACCTTCTAAACATGTAAGACTTTTGGGGATATTTTATATCTCAACTATAACAGTAAGTATTCTATTCACAGAAGCTATTTTTATTATTGAAGTGAGTCCAATAAAACCTAACAGTTCTTGGTACAATAGGATATACCTATAATGCCAGCTATTTGAAAGGTGGAGGTAGGAAGATCTCAAGTTTAAGTCCAACCTGCATAACTTAGTGAGATCTCAAAATTTTAAAAAATATATTTTTAAAGGAACTGTGATGTAGTTTTGTGGTAGAACACTTGCCTAGTGTTTGCTACGTTCCTGGGTTCAATCCCCAGTATTGCAAAGAAAACAAAACAAAACAAAAATCTCAGTGCTATTTTCCATATACAAAAGCTCTCCTATACATGTCTTGAATTATGTTTTGCAGAATTTTGTGTCTCTTGGCCTGTTTAGAGGAACAATTGTCAGATACTTTTAAAATCTTTACTTAGCCAATACATATAAATCATTATGTAATAGTCTATGAATCAGGATAGTTTTAACTAATCCTTTTATATGAACTGTTTTACCAAAAAATGTGTTTGGCTCAATATTAGATTTGAATTTCCTAGAAGGAAAGAACAGCAAAACAAAGAAACTATCTCCCCTTTCATATACTAAAAACTATAGCCCCATGAGCAATTTTATTAAGGTGGTTTTTGTTTCGTTTTTTATCTTTTTGAGACAGGGTCTCCATGCAATTCAGGCTGGCCTTGAGCTTACTTTGTAGCCCATGCTGGTCTTGAACTCACAGTGATCCTCCTGCCTGAGCCTCCCAAGTGCTGGGATTAAAGGGGTGAGCTACCACACCCAGTTTACTAAGGATTAAAAATCAGAAAATTCACTGATAGGTAGGATCCTGCCATGTTTAGAGTGAATATAGGTTTCAGACAACACCTTATTTCCTTAATTAGCAATATATACCAAAGAAATTCACGTTTAAGAGTTAATCTCTAAGAATTCAAAGTTATAATAATTGCCTAGAAGAAAAGGGAGCTTAACCAGGCATGGTGATATACACTTGTATTCCCAGCACCTTGGGATGCTGAAGCAGGAAGATACCAAATTTGAGCCTAGCCTGGACAAATCAGCAACTCAGTGAGAACCTGTCTCAAAATGAAAAACTAAAAATAGCGTAGAGCACCTGGCCACCAGTAAGCATCATGGACACTATCCATGTCCACCACATGCCAGAGCTTTGTGTGATATCCTATCCCCAGACTGTTACAAGTGCTGGTCATATATTTGCCATTCCAGTATTTTTGCTATGTTTTATTCTTAGTAATTCTTTACTATCATGAAAACTTTTTCTTAGTTGATATTTTTGTTTATGTTAACCTAATCAAATACTGTATAAGTACTCTGAATTGATCACAGATTTGTACATATGATACACTACAATCTGGCCTCTTAGTTGGACTTACAATTTAATTTTAATTTTTGAATATTTTGAAATATTTAATTTTAAATTAATTAATATTAATTTTCTGAATATTGTTTAATTTTAATTTTCGTTTTACAAATTATGCTGTTTCTTTGAATTATACTGTTACAATGTACTTATGAGACATGGTATAATATTTTCTTAGTATTAAAAACTCTAAAAAGTGCATTTCCATTTTCCATTGACTTTATACTAGTTCTTGCCTTTTACTCACACACACACACACACACACACACACACACACACACACGTATATACCCTGACACAAGATTGATACTGCTTTGTGGAAATCATCGATGACCTTTTAAATGGGTTCGTCTAATATAATTATATTTTACATGGTCCTGTATAACTACCATTTTGAGAGCTCTTTATTCTTTATCCAGGACCATATAGCAACTTCTCTTGCCTGCTGGATTATGGTCTTTCTTATTTTCTATATGCTACATCTGGAGGTATTAGCATGTTTCAAGTTTGTATAACTGGAAAATATTTTACTTTTAGTTCTCAAAGGTATTTTGCTATGTATAAAACTCAGTGAGGACAGATCTTTTTTTTTTTTTCAGTCCTTTGAATAAATAAGTCTAGTTTCTTACCCACTTGCTCTTTTTTTTTTCATTTCTAATGTGGAATAAGATGCTATTTAACTTTGTTCTTCCATAGCTAATATTTTTTTCTATGCATGCTTTAATGATTTTTTTGTCTTTACAATTAGTTTTGTACAATTTCATTTTTGTGTATCTTGGTATGATTTTAATCATATTTCTTGTGCAAAAGTTCATTTTTCTTGGAAATGTGGTCCTATAATTTTAACTAAATTCAGAAATTTTAAATCTTTAAATATTTATTGCCTACCCCCTTTTACTTTGAGAATTCTAATTATATGAATATAAGTTTCTTGATTTTGGCACAGAGTGAACTATTATATGACGGATCTGTAAACTCTTTTTTCTTTTTATTTATAGACAATTTTTATTGTTATATTCATTTAAGTTTGTAAATAATTTTTTACAATATGCTATTATTAATCTCATGTTATTTATTCATTTCAGAAATATTTTTCTAACATTCAGTCTACATCTTATATCTTTCACATCTCAATATTTGTCTACAATTTTTAATTTGCTATATAATTATTGATTTTCAGTAAAGTTAAAAAAACATAAATAAATAAAAATAGGGTGGAGGGTATGGCTCAGTGCAAAAACCCCAGGCTCAATCTCCAATATTGAAAAATAATATCTTTAAAATAAAGAAAATGAAGCCTTACTGACAATGCCTAAAATTATGTCTTATGTAGTAGCAATTTATAAGTAACTCACAGAACTATTCATCTTTTATACATATGCTTTTATTTATTTCAAAGGCTAAGACACTAAAACTTCAAATTCAACATAAAGAGACACTACTTACTTCTGGAGATTTCTGTATATTCTGGAATACAGCATAGGTAATAAGTGAACTGGAACCTATAACACTGACAAACAGATGATAATCATTAAAACAAGACAAGTCCCCTTCATTTTTTGTTATAGTTTTATTGACATAATTGATTTAAAATAAACTAAGCATTTAAAAACATATGGAATAGCTGGGCATGGGAGCACACACCTGTAATCTTGGGAGGCTGAGGTAAGAGGATCACGGCAAGTTTGATGCCAGCCTGAGCTATATAGTGAGTCAAGGCCAGCTTGCACTACAAAGCGAGACCCTGTCTCAAAAAGAACAACAAAAAGGAATATTCCATAAATACATGTTATCCTGTTTATTCTTGGGCCATTCCTGCATAATTCTACTTCTTAATATTTGTGCAGATGATGGAGGATTCACTGACTTCAGATATTATCCCTCAATCTGTTTTTGTTTCTGTTGTTGATGTCATTACATTTTATTAGAAAGCATCAACACAGTAAAGGATATCATTTCCAACTAAAGATTAATTTCTTCCCTAGGGGGTGAATGTACAGACTGCAGAATTCTCCAGTTTTGCTTAAACCATTTTAGACAGTCATATTATACAAGATTAAATAAACATACCTCAGAGTAGCCATGACAAACTGTATCCACTGAATTGCAGAAAAAAACTAAGAAAGAGCAGAGAGAAAAATTAAACCTTTTACATTTAATATTCAACTTAACTCCAACTTCACTATTTATTAACCATCTCTTCAGCACAAATTTTTCTTCAAGGCCTAATCAAAACATTACAAGTCTGAAAATTAGTGAAAAGGCCAAAAAGGCCTCTGGAAAGGCAGGGTGGCTCCCTTTTCCCTCTTATTCCTAGGAAAAAAAATAGAGAGATGGATAGAAAATGATTAGATGAGAAAGATAACTGAAGGAAAAACAAAAGAGGAGGAATAAAGAAGAGGTAGGAAAGCTGAATTTTGAGAGAGGATAGAGAAATATATAGAAAGAATGAGTAATAAGAAAAACAAATACTTAATAAAGTTGACTGACAGCTAGAAAGTCAGAAAATAATGGAATAGTAAATGGCACGGAACAGAAAGTAGAAAAGTAAGTAGCATGATGAGAGATACTGTGAATGAATAATATAGAACAAAGACGAAAAAAGGAGAAACGATAAAGAAGAGATGGCCAGCTTCTGTTCTTACCCAGTCCCACTCGTCCTCCAGAATGCTAACCTCCAGTGGGAAGGCCATGAGGACTTCAGGCCCAGCTGGTAGCAAGCAGCTCGGCTTCTCAATCAGTTCTGAACAGTTACTAGGTAGCTCCTCCCCTACCCCAGCTGCGCTCCTCCCTGCCTCATTCTGCACTGTACCTTAAGGGCAAGGAGTGAGAAGACAAGTGGAGGAAAAAGTCAGCCTGAAAGTCCAAAAATAGAAAGAGCAGGTGACAAGGAAACAAAGTTGTATGAAGCATTAGGAATTATAAAGAAATAGAAAGAATGAATCATAGTGAAAAGATAAATACAGCTGTGAAGGGAAAGGGCTAGAAGGGAGCTCTACTTTAAACTTGTTCCTACTTTGAGACAGAAACCTGTGGTAAGAGAAATTGAAAATTCAATTAATAAAGTGTTACCAGTAACAACTAAAAGGAAAAAAGCTGGGGCCGGCAGCTTTTCAGACAGCTCAGCAGTCTAAAGCGCCTGCTTAGGCAAGCTTAGGGAAGCCTAGGGAGCGCGGTTCAATCCCCAGCACCGCATGTCGCGCTAGCCCTGCTCCAGTGGTGGGCTGAGTTGAACACAAAAATAAATAAATAAAATAAAAGACATTATTAAAAAAATAAGTAAGGGAGCCTGGTCCTAGCTCAGGCCTTTAAGTGGCTGCTTCCACAAAGCTGTCAGCCTCAGGTGGCTGGAGTTCGAACCTCACACCTCTCCCGCTGGCCGAAAGTGCCCTGAAGGCATTCGAGGAACAAAATAAATAAATAAATAAATAAATAAATAAATAAATAAATAAATAAAAAATGGAAAAAAGCTTATTTTTGTCATATTTAATACTAACATCTTTTTAAATATTCTGAATCCAAAAATCACACCTAAAATAGAATTAAATTGCACTATTCATTTAATATGCTTATGTGTAAATATAAGTGTTGCGCAATGCAGTATGTTAAATGGGAGATATAAAGATAAATAAGGTACAGACTCAATTTTCCAGAAGCTTATAATATAATAGGAAAAATGGCTTCAATGCCAAAAATTCAAACAATCAGTGCATGCTTTGGCAGCAGATATACTAAAAGGCCTGTAATCCCAGAACTTAAAAGGCTGAGGCATAGGGACCGGGGAGATAGCTCAATAGAATAAGTGTTTGCCTGGCAAGCGCAAGGGCCTGAGTTCAATCCCTGGTTCTGAAAAAAAAAAAAAGAAAAGGCTGAGGCAAAAGACTTGCTGCAAGTTCAAGGTCAGTCTGGGCTACATAGTAAGATCAGAGCCAGCCTGCACAATATAGTGAGACCATGTCTTAAAAAGATGCAAGGAAGGGAAAGAAAGAAAGAAAGAAAGAAAGAAAGAAAGAAAGAAAGAAAGAAAGAAAGACTCAATCTGAATAACAGGAATAATATACACAGAATAACATTTTTTTTTCAGAATAACATTTGAACAGCATTTGTTACTAAAATTCAAACAAAAATCCAGGGAAATAGAGGGTAGAAGGAAGGATACTCATTTATACAATCACACATCATAATCTAATCATACTTTCATATAGTCTACAAATATTTTTTCTTTTTATTTTCTTTGCTTTTGGGGGGAGGATGCACTGGGCACTGAAACCAGGGCTTCAAAAATACTAAGCATGTGCTATACCACTGAGCTAAAACAACAACCCTCAAATATTTAATAACATAAATTAGATAATTTGTATAGCTATAATAATTCAAACACATTATTTACATCAAACTAAGATCGTAGTCTACAGTGAAAGATTAGATGACCAGATATTGCTAAATGGAAATTTCTAATACTTTTTGCATAAAATAATAGATAAAGAAAAGATACTAGATTTCTGGATTAAAAATATCTTCAGCAAAAGGTTGTGACGAATGTTTTGAGGTCACCAATCATATCTCTATTTAATAAGCATGAGATTAGGAAAAGCCTCACCAACTGATAAGAAAATGCTTTTGAACAAATGACTCTTGTCTCAGTTAAGAACAAATATTAAGTTATTCAGAGAATTAGCAACGCCAAATCAGTTCGCTGCTCCTGAAAACATAATCAATCTTGGAGAAATTTTCTCTTTGGCATCTTTTCTAAAATGTCTACGTCACCTATCAACATTTGGGGACTTTTCAGTATTTCTCTAAATTAACCCCCTACTTGCGATATACTCAGCACTTTGCCCAATGGGTATCTTTGGAAATACAATTTTGCCATCTTTCTTTTCTACAAGGGCTAACTCAAACTCAAATGAACAAAGTAGGTGATATTTACTTTTTAGGTTTTCCTTTTTCCTTTTTAGTATAAAGCTGCTGGCTGGGTATGGTGGCACATACTTAGCACTCAAGAGGCTGAGATAAGAAGATTGCAGTGAGTTTGAGGCCAGCCTGAAGCAAGATACAGTCTCAAGAAATGAAACAAAACAACAAAAGCTCTGTACCAAGTAC